CGCGTTTTTCACAGAGTATTACGCCACTTCGCGTAAAACGGGTGGTGAAACTCCAATAACGTCGTTACCCCAACAGAGAAGTAAGCTCAACTTCCTGAAAACAACTACCTGTTGTAATACAAAGGGAACCGCACATAGAAATCCTCATCGCCGTTGACCTTGATAACACCGCTACCACGTTGCAACACTACCTGCATAGCACGCGGAAAAATGGTAAACCACACGTGTTGATGACAATGGAATTTCACCGCCCTAGTGATATGAAAAACACTAGTGAAAAACATATTTCACGACTACTGCATTCAGCGAACATCGGCTTTTCACCGAGTTTTACGCCACTTCGCGTATATTAGAAACATATTTGATATTTTATTTCGCGAAAAAACACCTGCAAACAGAAAAAATAACGCGTAAAACGCGTGATGTGTTTTACGTAATGTGAGGTCATTTGTCCGTAATGTTTCGCTTTTTTACACAGAGTATTACACCACTTCACATAAAACGGGTGAAACTCCTCAGCAACTCACGTGCGCAGTAGCCCTTTTCCTCAGGCCTCGTCCCTCAGCCCTCTCCTTCCACTCCTCACCGTTATACACGAACGACCGAGCTTCCTTGGGGTTAGTGGTAAACGCTCTCACCAGTTTATTATGGATCACTGAGTTCACCTAAATTTTCTGATAATAATTCCGCAGAAGTTTCACCCGTTTAACGTGAAGTGGCGTCATACTCAACTTCAAAGAAAATTCAAGACGTTTATTTTTTCGTGACTAATGACTCTACGAAATAAATCATGAAATATGTTTTTCATATCACTAGGGTACAATTCCATAGTACTCAACAAATCTCTACTAATTTTTCAACGTCAACATGCTAACAATGAAAATCGATTAGCACAATATCAGCAGTGTTCTCATATTTTATTTTTACTACCCAAGTCCTACTATACCATAACTCTATAAAATCATACAATTGCTATTGCATGACTTGGGTTCGATATTGGAGTTTCACCCTAGTGATATATAAAACACTAGTGAAAAACATATTTTACGACTACTACAGCCGACGAATATCGCGTTTTTCACCGAGTTTTACGCCACTTCACGTAAAACGGGTCGTGAAACTCCAATATATAGCCACACAGCATCCGACGATATCATTGACAGTATCAGAGCAAAAACTGGGGTGAAAAATCGAAAAAAAATTGAGAAAAAACAACCTTCCGGACAGAGAAAAAATCCAAAAATAATCAAAAAATCGATCAAAACTTCAAAATGGTGTACTTCAACATTGGAGTTTATGTGAAGTGGCGTAACACTCCGTGAAAAAACCCGATATTGGCGGTGATATGCAGTAGTCGTGGAATATATTTTTCACTAGTGTGTTTCATACCACTAGGGTGAAACTCCAGTATTACAGCTGAAACTGGGGTAAAAAATCAAAAAAATGGCAAAAACAGCCTTCCAGACAAGAAAAAAACAAAAAATTATTGAAAATTCGAGTAGAACTTCAAGACACTGTATTCATAGAAAACATCACCACCACTAGTAGTACCGTATCAACCTTCTCCTCGTCCACCTGCTGCTCCTCAGCCGTTCCCTTCTCCTCCTCACCAACATGCAATACCTCAAATTCCTCTTCTGCTTTTTTGAAGCCCTCATCCATAGAATTGAAAAAGTCCTCTAATACAAAAGGAGCCGCCGAATCCGTTGAAAATGAGGGCGACTTCATAACACGCAGCTGCATTTCCCTTGTGGTGTATAAGCCCAGCTCAGTCGTCAAATACAGCGCTTGATTGAGGCTCAACGGCTCAGCATCTTTTCGAATTTTCTCCTCCTCCGCCGCTTCAGCCTTTTCACCGTGTGCTGCTGCTGTGCACATAGATCGCATCGTGAAAATTCGACAAGATCTACACAATGCTAGTCGCTGGACTCTAGGTATCAACATGTAGTAACAAAGCAAACTAAAGCTGCGGGAAAGAACCGACCACTTCTAGACGATTCCATTTTCTTGAAAAAATCACGGAATTTTCGATTCCCTTTCCAACGAGGATAGTTTCTCTCTGAAATTGGAGCTTCGAGTGCTATAGCAAGAGGAATGGATACAGTTGATTAACGTTTCACCTTAGGAATGGTACCACCCCAAACGTGTATAATTTAGTTTCCACTAAAAAAAAGAAAAATATATGATAATCATAGCCGTTTCATAGATATCTAGGCAAGCTCGATTGTCAAAACCACACCAGTTCCTCGAGCAACTTACAACCATCACATGCCAAAGCGGATCCATTTGAGCGGTCCTGAAAAGTCTATCGCCGTCACCAGGCTTATGCATCTTTAGTCACATAGAAAATGAGGAATTTCTATAAAGGAATTTTCCTTCATAGAATTTATATGGAATTTTCTAGAAAATTCGGGATCATTCTTTTTCAACCACTCCTACACTAAACCGTAGATAAAGTGCCACAGCATAACGAGA